CCCCAAAACCCCAAAACCCCAAAACCCCAGGAAATCAAGGTATTGGAATTATTAGTAAATTTTAGTGAAGCAGATTAAATAATACTATAGAAATAATGGGTTGTCAATAGACCTGTCAAAGATAAATTAACATTATTGAGGAGGATTACTCAGAATCAGAATTCTCAGAGACTTCTTAATCTAAAAATGACTTTGAAATCCATCGACTTAAAAACATATCTTTTTCCAAGTAAAAAGGCAAAAGAGATAACTCATCACTTTTGGAAATAATCAAACAAAGAGAAAATAATAAAAATAAGGTCAGTGTGCTTACCTTGCAAAAAGAACCGTAAAAAGCTGAAAATCAAGAGGTGTCATTTATCAATGTTTGCTGCACTAAACCAAATTAGCAATCGAAATTAATTGAAAATCTATCATTCAGTATTGCATCCTAACTCTAATAATCTGAAAGAAAGAATAAAAATGACACCTAGATGTCCATAGATAGAAAAAGAGAAGATAATGACTAAAACAACCAACAAAGTTTATTGAAAATAGTCAACTAAAATTCAGCAATAAATGATTCAAGTAAAGGTGCTATAATGAGCCTAGAAAAATCACATATTAAAAGCAGGAAAGACTAATAAGCGATTAAATCTACTCTTGGGAACAAGATCAACAATAAAACAAGCTTTGATGTATTAATGAATTAGGATTTTAGTATTTTACCTAATAAAAAGAGATAGAACATACCTCGAAAAATAACATCACCAATATTTTTCACTTAGCTCCAATAGTTCAATGTATTTCAAAATATAATAGATGCTGATGAAGATTTAAAAAGAAGAGGAAGCAATCTTTAACCTATGAAAGTTGCTAACCTAATTCAATAAAATTAATAAAATTCTAAGGAAATTTTAAATAGCATTAGTAGTAGCAGTTTTAGTAGTAACTTTTAAGATGAATAGCTAGAGAATAGGAGAATTTCTACTAATCTAAAAGCTCATCCTAAATCTAAGTTTGCAAGCCTCAAGAAAAACTGTATTATGGATGATAATAAGTCTGATTAGGATAAGGAGCCCCAATAGAATGAGAGTGAAATAGATGACGATGAAGAAGAGGAGGAAGAAGATCACATGAAAATTTTATACAAATCGAATACAATTTAAATAGAATAGAAGCCTGAGGACAAACTTTTAATGCTTGATGAGACAATTTAGGATCTTCTAATGAATAAAATTAAAAACAAAGTAGATTAGATAAGTAATCTCTAATTACCAAAAGATATTAGTGCTGAGAGATAATAAGATAATTAGAACGGAACCGATAAGCAAAATTCAGGCCAGTGATTCGGTCCAACAGTTGAGATAATCTAGAAAGAAGTCACAAAAATAAAAGAGTACTATTACAGTTCACCAAAATCAAATGTAGAAGACTCAAATATGAGTCAAAAATCTAAAAATAAAAAAATAGCGAGTATTGAGTAATCTGAAATTGATTACTTAGGAGGCTCATTTCAACAAATGGTTAAAAAAAAGTCAAAAAAAAACAACAGCAAGCTGTTTGATAACTAAGTTCTTATGATGGAAAAGTAAAATAGCAAATCGAGAAGAAGGAAAACAATCAAAGATAAAAGTGGCAAAAAGAAGGTAATATAGACAACCAAGACTACTTCAGTGCTGTTTCATGGAGCTCTTAACAACAATGGAAATTCTTCTAACACCATAAATATTAATACTCAGTACAACAGACAAGAGGATAAGTCTGAAGAAATAAAGCATGATGATTAAACACCATCGCCTTTAAATGGGGAAAGAAGCAAAAACCAAAAAAGATCACCCAGGAAAGCAGATAGAAAAAAGAAAGATTAAAAAAGGGGAAAGACTTAGTTGAATATGCCTAAAAATATTCCTAATCTTAACAGAAATGCTTAAAGCAATGTAGTTAAAGATGATGATCCTCAATTTTTGGAATTTCAGAATAAATGGAGGCAAAAATAAATGGAGATGACATACAACAGAAAGGAATTTAGCTCTGTTATACTTTCTAAAAATCACTCACATACTGATTTGAGTAAAAATATTGCTGGAATGTAAGATATAATCTCAAAACTAACTACTAACTATTTTAGGCATGGAAATATGGCTAATCGCACTTTGATGAATGTAAGATTGGCAGGAATGAATTCATAAGCAAATCTAGGAATAGTTAGAAGGAGCTCTTCAAAATCTAACAGAAGAATGAGTCTTTCAAAGTAGTTATTCATCAATGAGGGCAGAGGAAAGATAGAGTAAAAGTATGATTTCCTAGAAACTATTGGCTAAGGAGGTTTTGGCTTAGTTAGAAAGGTCAGGCATAAAATAACAGGTGAAATCAGAGCTATGAAAGTCATTTAAATAGACTAATATGATTCAAGTACTCTTAAAAATATATCTAATGAAGTGGAGATCCTTAAACAACTGGTATAACTTTGAGATCTAATTTACAATATAGGACCATCCGAACATTGTTAAAATATATGAGTTTTATCAGGATAAGAAAAACCTTTACCTAATATAAGAGTATATCTGTGGAGGGGACTTATTTGATAAAATTAAAAATTCTAAGGGTGGGTTTGAGGAAAATACTGCTGCTCTTATAATGAAATAAGTACTTTCTGCCGTTTTTTATTGCCACAAAAATGGAATAGTACATAGAGATTTGAAACCAGAGAATATTCTACTGGAAGATGCAAACAGTTATAATAGCATAAAAGTTATTGATTTTGGTACTTCTAGGAATTTCTAAAACTCTAAGAAAATGAACTAGAAATTTGGGACTGTAAAATTACTTATCTAAATAATTTTAGGCATATTATATTGCACCTGAAGTATTAAAAAAGAATTATGATGAGAAATGTGACATTTGGAGTTGTGGTGTGATGCTACATATTATGCTATGTGGATATCCACCCTTTAGAGGGAAACATGAAAGAGAAATTCTTGAAAAAGTAGAGATTGGCTACTTTTCATTAAGTGGTCCTGAATGGAAAACAGTGTCTCGAGAGGCCAAACTCCTTCTAAAATAAATGCTAACTTATATACCTAAGGAGAGAATATCAGCTGAATAAGCCTTAAGCTCTTCATGGATCTAAATTTAAACAAAGACAGAGGTAGTCACTATGTAGGAAGCTCAAAATGCACTCTAAGCACTAAGAAACTTTCATGTAATTACTCAAAGTCTTATTAGCTTTAGATTGATATCAAATTACAGTAGGCTGCTTGCTTATACATTGCAAGTTAGTTACTAACTAGGTAGGAACTGATGAAATTCAAGGATATATTCAACTGCTTTGATCTTAATGGAGATGGTATTTTAAGCTCTGAAGAGTTAAAAGAGCTGATTTGTGTTCATCTACAAATCAGTAGAGATAAAGCTGGTAGAGAAGCCAATAAAATTCTTTCTCACATTGATATAAACTAGAACGGAGCAGTAGATTTCACGGAATTTGTGATAGCTATTGTCTCTAATAAAGATATATTGACCGATGATAAATTGTTGAATGCATTTAATATGCTTGACATGGATGGAAATGGTAGAATAACAAAGGAGGATCTGCAACAAGTTTTCAAAGGTACTTCAGACTAAGACATACTAATTGATGAAATGATTGAAGAGGCCGATGAAAAAGGAAATGGAGAGATTGCATTTTAGGAATTTAAGAAGTTAATGCTTTCTATGTAGAAATATAACTAATATGAAACAGGACATATATATTACTAAAACGATTCATCAATTAGTAACTAAAATCTGAATCTCACAATGCTAAATAAATGAACCATAGGCTTTCCGAGTTTCACTTTGGTGATGTAGTCATATATATTTTTTGGAAAATAAATCTGATTTTACGATTTTAATTGGAGTTAATTTAATTAAAGTTAAAATAAATATAGTCATTCTGTATTCAATCATCTCTAATATTTAGATTCCATATCTTATTTACTATCTCAATCCTTCATTTCTTCATCATCACTAATGTCTTCTTGGCTCACAGTTTCATAGCCATCACTTTCATCACCATTTCCTTCTTATTCATCCATTTAGTCATCACTGTCTTGATTATGATCTGTATTAGACTTTCCAAGGGCTTTTTATACACTCCCATATAATTCCTCAGCACCTGCCTTCAACTCAGGGTCATTAATCTTTAACTTTATCATCATAGTCTTAACATTTTTTAGACATTCCTTGCAATTCTTATATTTCTTTAGGCTAAAGTGAGAGAATGCTAATAGGTACCAGGCTTCTGGATTCTCATCGTTCTCTTAAATAACTGTATCAAGTACTTTAACTGCTGGTTTATATTGCTATAATTCAACACACATTCTGCATGTTACCATTCTAAATTCAATGTTCGGCATCTCATTAATATCTAATAAGTTCATGATCATTTTTAAGACTTACTTTCTGGATCAAGCATGATTTTTACTAATTTATTGAGGTTTTCTATTGCTTCATTGTCTCTTGCTCTAATCATTCTAAGATTAGCTTATTGCTGGAGTGCATCAATATTACTTGGATCTACCTTCAATGCCTCACTTAGACATCTCTCACATTCATTTTCTGCATCATTTTCATCACTAAGATTATTAGAAGGAATAAATTTACCATAATGGTTCACTCATAAATAACTCTGCAATTGATGAAAATGCGCTAGCTGTCTATTTTTGAATAAGTTTTAACTCATCTTGCATTCCTGCTGCTTTAAGTCCAATCATATCTTTTTAGAACACTTCTATTCCCTTTCTATACATTTAAACAGCATCCTATCCTGTAAGCATTTCTGCATAGTTAAGGTACTTTCTGCCGTCTTTTGATGGATTAAGCTAAATAGATCTCTCTATCAACTATCGAAAATGAATTATTTTTATTTTAAATTACATCTTTAGCCTTAGCATCCTCTCCTAGTTAGATTAGTAGGTCTGTGTAAGCATCAAGAATTAAGGTGTCGTTTGGAAACCTTTAAAGACCCTCCTCATAGAGTGCTACTGCTTTTTCCAGTTTTAAGGTATCAGCATAGTTTTCAGCTCTTTAAATCAATTCAAGATTGGTAAGTTGTCTTCCTAAAGCAGTGAATGAACTGTCCTCACTAGTAGAATTCTTATCCTCCTCAAATACATCTTAAGAAAATTTGTTTTTGTTCTTATTGCTACTCTTAGAGTTGCTAGCTCTACCTAATGACTCCATCGGAATATGGACCTTGTATTATTTATATATTAATTACTATTCACTTACCAATTATTTAATATAGCCTTATTTCTCTCTTTAGGGGTTTTGGGGTTTTGGGGTTTTGGGGTTTTGGGG